TATATATAGTTGGTCCAGCTTCACAGATCGTTCAGATTGGCATGCCAAAGGGAGCGCAAAACGAGCGGCAGACACGTCACTTTCCGGGGTATATAGCCGAGAAAGAATTTGTTTCTGCCGTTGGTGACCAGCAATTGAACACAAGCATTTACTCCCTGGCTCAAGAACGGATCATGACAATGTCGTAGTTTCTTGCTGCATCGGCGAATCCCTGGCTCCGCACAAAGTCAGCTGATCGCGTACCAGGTTTGGTGTTCTACTTTGAACATGACATGGAAGCCCTCTTTGGCTTAGGACGCTCTATAAGCTGGGGCACGTGTTTCACTCGGACTTCTCTGTTTGTTTGTTGGAACTCGGTGCGAGACCTACTGATTACTGATTAGACCACATGTTGAGCTGGAATGAAGTAAGTTACGTCACATTAAAGACATGCTTGTAAGGTATACGGTTTTCTCTTTAAGTATACATTTATATTTGAAGGACATGGCTCGATGAGTAAAAAACCTGTTTCGATGTGTGTCAATCTTCGGTCAGAGCTTCCATCCGATAGGAAATCCGTAATTCGTTGGCTCAGAGGAGCTGCCTGAAGGTAATGATGTCATGCTATATATATATATAATATATATATGTATACCCTCCCTCCAATAAGCATGGTTTCGTGGATGGCACCACCCCCACGAACATGTTGGCCCATGATTCTGTAACCAGGGGAGTGTATTTGCAGTAGTTTGAGAATAGATGGCACTGGCACCCGAAAAGGATTTTTAGACGAGGTCTACAATATAGACTACCTTTGGGGATCGTGCCGTCTATTCTGAAACCAGACTATATGTGTTTCAAATTTCAAATGATGTTGGCAGCATCTCAACGACCATCCTTCAGCCGTATTTGCAATTAACAGCCTCTCAACAAACTGCTAGGGAAAGCTTGGAGAGAAGAGAACGCTTGGCCAAAGATAAATATCTCCATACGGAAACTACAAAACTCAGATTGATTCCAGCATATTCCAGCTTCATTTTTCACTGACCAAGTGGCTTCCACCTCAGATAGAAGAACTTGACATCTTCCGTGGCTCGTTCATACTGCGAGATGGACTCCGGGCGATGCATCCATGCAATCCATTGACACCGGAGGTCGGGGCGTCCACCTTTCCTGGTCCGGAGGTCGACCGAATCCCTGGGACCGGCACGTGAGCGGGAGGCCGAAGCAAGTCTTGGTTCGGATGCAAAGCAATACCCTATGGATCCACATACCTTCTCAGGTTCGGTATGACTGGGCGCCAGCTGGCACCTACAGTCTCCAATCACCTTCTCAGGTTCGGTATGTGGATCCATAGGGATAGAGAACATGTCCACTCCCTAAGCCAGACACGACCTGTGTGGGACCGATTGACCGATTGACCAGGCCAGGGGTGGTTGACCTGGGGCCGATGTGGGTCATGGCACCCAGAGCCCCTTTCGCCAGGGTAGGTTGACCTCCTGTATAGGTCGTCCATTCTCTTTATTTTCACTTTTGACCCACAGCCATACATACGCAGTACATGGATAGTGTGTGGGTATAACATGTGGTTGTTCTTGTGTTCTACACCTTCTGGCTACTTCAGAATGAACATATCCCCTAGAGCTCCAAGTACCTCCTCTCAAAACCAGACGGCCGCGACCCGCCCTGGATCAGACTTTGCAAGCTGCTTCGGGCAGACAAGAAGACCCTATATCAGTAGCCTTCGGGCAGGCATCCCCCTGTGCATCTTCACTAGCAAATGAGCAGCCATAATAGAGGGGAGCAATTAGTAGTAAACGACTACTACCTCATAATACAACAAATTGGAATGACCGGGTTGTAATTGGAATGACCTGGTTGTTGTATTTTTAATCATGAGTAAACAACACAATACTTGTTCGATGGATAAACAGGCGATGAACAATGTAGGGAACAACAGGGCCAATTCACATGTTCCAGATCCGATTCACACAGAACTTCACAAAGCTTCTCGGGGTTTTGGGGAGAGAGACAGAGGCGACAGAGGTTTTAGTGATCGTCATGTGCCATGCTGAGCCTTCAGACGAGCAAAGGATTCTCAGAAAGCTCAAAAACCTCACAGCAACACAAGGGAGCAGGTCGCAGATGGTCGCAGGTAGCACTCCCAGCCCCTCCCAGCCCCCTCCCAAAAGAAGAAACACCACTGCTTGCGGCTTGCCATGGGACTTCTCGTGGGGTTCTACCCACCGAACCTCTATTTTCTGGGCAGTTTCTTGGAGACATCTTTCGATCGCCAAGCGAAGTATCGCTAAGTTCCTTGTGTTGGTGTTGGTTTTGGCACCGAAACAAGCGGGAATGCACTGACTGACAAAGGTCCGCTGGATGTCCATGGATGTCCATGGCTAATCTTAGTATTTGTATACCCGCCGTGTAGACCAGATTCTATGTACCCAAAGATAAACGCCATATTAATATAGACCACCGTGTATAATTAATATGGACCCAAAGATGGACGGTTTGGCAGACCGATGGAGTGTTTGCAGACCGATGGTGTGCACCAGGTTCTATGTGGATTGTTTTCAAGTGGTGTATAATAAGTATAGGCATTTTGAGTTTCATTGCGACTTGTTTTGATCCACGCTTCTCAAGTTCCGACTTGGAATTCTTCCAGAACCTTGTCAATGGCTCTTCAACACGTGAAGTTGTGACAACAACTTCCCGTTTTGAAGTCGCAACAGGAAGCTACTAGGGACTCCTGGCAACTAGGACTAGGAGCGATCGGACGCGACTCGAACGGGGTTCCTGGCCTTACCACTAGGAGCAATGTTCGCTACTAGGAACAACTGCATCGCTTCTAGTAACTAAGTGCCTTACTAGTAGTAACAAGGACGCTACGAACGGGGCTCCTGGCCTTACTACTAGGAACAATGTAAGCTTCGAACGTAACAAGTGCATCGCTGAAGCTCTCTTAATCACATCTTTTTTTTACGGGGTGCAAAGACGTGGTGTTTCGGACCTCGTGGTGTTTCTCGGTGGACCTCGTGGGCTATCGGCGAGGCTTGCTGTACCTCCTCGGAAGCATTTGCTACACACTGGCCGCCTTTTTGGTGGACGTCGACGCAGGGCGGAAAAGCAGCCGTTTTGGGGCCTGTTGCAGTTGGAAAGGTCAAGCAGATCATGAATCATAATAGAAGATCAATAAGGGCAGCCACTGAAGTAGAAGAATGAATTCCAGCCAGATGCTGGGTTTAACAATTTAACATTGAGGCTTTCAATCCCATGATGACAAAGTGAGACACCAACACACCTACCCCAAAACACTCCATGTATAGCATATAAACCTATACATTGACCCCTGAAACCATTCATGGAGTGTTTGGGCGCTACTCAAGGTAGACCTCGTCCATGTGGGAAACATTTGCTTCATTTGTGGCAGCATCCTCTTCGTGATCGATGGACGCAACAACGCGATGGCTTCCGCCACAGCACTGAACAGCGCGAGCACGTCCTCCGCTAAAGTGGCACCAGTGGTTGCTCAGTGCCCCGAGGCCACAACCTCGAGGGATTGGGTAATTGGTCTTCCTGAGCTTGATGGTGCAAAAGTGGCGGCTCCTGAGACCACCCACTACCCAGCCATCCCAGAAAGCCCAGTCCGTCTTCATGAGCATGCTTCCTAGAAAGAGTTTGGTGCCAACAGATGAAGGGCCATTCAGAAGGACCGTTCAGGTCCTATCTTGAGATTTCTCAGCTTACGCTTTTAACTGAACTTGGTTCACATGTGACTCTGGCTCGATTTGAGTCCGTTCTTGGAGGATTCCAAGCTATGCAAGCGCGGTTTCTTTTTTTCAAGCGCTGCATCGTTCTACCGGCCGCTGTGACCGGTCGAGTCTTTCGCCGGTGGCGACCGACCAATTGGTGGCGTCGATGAGGTCGGCAGGTCTGACTGGTGAGCGAGCTAATCAATAAACACATACCAGGACCTTCAGTTCGTGACCTCTTTGGAGTCTCTGTTTGTGACCTCTTTAGGGACTAAGTGACCTCATTCTACGATCTCAAAAAGTCACTTTGAAGGTCCTGGTACATAGGCAAGATAATCAACATCTCACAACATTTCTAGATTGTGGTGTGAACGTATCTCATTTGATATACCATGTTTATATATGGTTCTGTCCCTGAGCACAGCACGCAACCTGCAACGGCACCTGCGGAAGAACGAACTACTAGAGCATTCCTCTGCACCTGCGTTTCGGAGGCCGATTCGGGACCGATCCCCAGACCTCCACGTTTGGCATGGCCCACGTTGTGTGGGGCGTGAAAACGCACGCACAGCCCTGGGCGACCGGAGAACCCCCAAACGAAACAGCGACGCCCAGTCTAGTGCCCAGTCTGGGGTGGTTTCTGTTTATAAATGTCCCCTCACCATCCCTCACCTCACCATGTGACCATCCAATCACTTGGGTGCTGAGTCAGAGGACGTTGGGAAACAGGTCGCACGGTGGGTGCGGGGGTCTCGGGTTCTCGGGTTCTCGGGTCTCCATCCGAGACTTAGAGACTCCATCAATCACAGACAGTGGCATCAGTGGCACATCATACATGTGTATGCTGTATACACAGTTGCCAATAGCTTTGCGGATCTTTGCGGCGTCATGTCTAGTTATTGTTTCATCCTTAAACTATGCGATGTTGAATTCAACAGAAACCGATGTGCTGAGCCGCTGAGTCTCGCCTCCGCGGAGCCGCTGCAAGGCATCGCGGACGCAGAACGGACGCTTTCGAAGGGCCTGCGAGCGAGAAAAAGGGCCGGGAGCTGCGAGCGAGCCTGCGGAGTGGAAGGTGGGTTCTTTTTCTGTGGGGTAGATTAACATGCATATGAACAACAACACTCCAAGTAGTTATATAGGGTCCCATAATGAGTTCGTCGAGCTTTCTGGGATGTTGAGGTTTTTGTTGGCGCTCCATGTTGTTCATTTGACCTGAAGTCCACCAGAACCCCAGACCTTCCCGGCTCTTCTTGCCCTGAGGGGACCGAGCCCAAAGAGCCCATGGCCAAAGCTCCTGGGCGATGAGACGTGCTTCAGGCTCGGATGCCAGAACGGATAAACACCCAGACCTTCCTTGTACCTAGAGCCCATTTGACCTCTGTTTTCATAGGAAAAGACTGTATTTTGAGTGTTTGGTGGTCCAAAATAGAGGTCACTCAGGTTCTATAGGTATGCCATCTTCACCGATCAGTTGGGGTGGTGGCAGGGGGTGAATGGGGCGGCAGAACGCAGTCCCATCGAGTGTTTGGGACAGGTACACATCCCCGGTGACGTCCCCTGGTGCTGGTGGAAGGTACGTGGACGCTCATGGGTCCAAACTCCAAACCCCTGCTTTGGGTTGACTTCTGGGGTACTTCTGGGCATGTTCATGGTGTTTTGGTTGAAACGTTCGACTGCGCGCAGCTGCCCGCTGGGTTGCGCTAGTTGGAACGGAGTCAGCCAGGCTGGAGATAGCCTGGCATGCTTTCTTGAATCTACTGGAACTGGATCTGGAACTGGATCTCCTCCCCCCCAACAAAAATATGAATTCATGGAAGGAATTGACATGACCACTGGAACTGGATCTAGAACTGGAACACGAACTCTCTCAGGGCCTCACGGATCTCCTCCAATTGGAGGGTGGTGAAACCGGCCGCCGACAGCGACCGGTCAAAGCCTCCCAGGACCTCCTCGAAGAGGAGGGGTCGATGCATGTCGCAGCCGGCCGTCGGGGCCGCCGAGTGAGAGATGGACATTCTCGTCACCCGAGTGACGAGAGGGCCGTCCGAAGGGTGGATCCGAAACAAAGTTAAAAAGATGTAAAAAGCATTGCTAGGGTCGGGTGGATGTTCCAAATTGGTAGGATAGTGATGGTGATGTTGTTGCTAATATGATATCAGCTATGTATTTTGAATCAGTATTCAATCCCTAGGGTTCCAACTACCTTCTGAGAAGGTGGTTGGTGCGGGTGCCAGGGGGGGTTTCCTACCCTGTGAGATCTTGTGAGGATATCTTTGGAACCCCAAACCATAAATCCCTCCGCCGTCTGTGACCCAGAATGCGAGCGAATGGTCGCTCGGAGACCCTCTTCCCATACGCGGGCATTGGTCTAGCGAATGGTGCAGCGCTGCGCTCGTCCATCCGCACTGCATGATCAAAGACATGCCTTTGATTCAATGTAATGCATATGGTTCCAACCTTTCATTCATGATAAAAAGATGTCTTCAAGGTTTGTGATGCCTTTGATTCATGATCAAGGTTCCATGCATGGTTCCAGGCATTAAGGTAATCAATGTTCATGTCTGTATTGTTGCAGACTCCAACTTGGCCCAACTGCATGGCATATCACGATGACAAGGTTTTTTAGTTGGCCATACCTTGGATGTCTCCAAGCTGTGACATGTATTTGTATATAAGTGTATGTATATTGTATATATATATGTTTATTTATTTATTTATTTATGTGTCCACAGTTGTGTCCACATAATATGTCCGCATGAGTGTCGTCTACATGAGTGTCTAAACATATATGTCCCCTATGATGTATTGTCCCAGTCCAGGGACTCCCAGAGACTCCCATGGACTCCCATGGACTCCGTGTCACCGCCGCCTTCCAAGGCCACCTTCCATCAACCCACGAGTCCCATAAGTCCCACACCGAGTCCTCCCAGTCGACTGAAACGCCCCTCGGAGACGCATCGGGAGCAAGAAGGGATCCCCCAAATCCCCCTCGGCTTTGTGTCCTGGGACCCAAAAAGAATGTAGGGCATTTTGGGCTGTTTTGAGGTTAAGTTTATAGTTATATGTTAGAAGAAGGAATCTAATTGAACTAGCTTTAAAAAATCACAGCCCTGTTGAAGGCCCTGTTGTAACAATGTGCGGTCAGACCGCAGGTTTGTGTTCAAGCAACCACTTAATTGAAGACACTGACTGACTGACTGACTGACTGACTGAGCCCGTGAACTGGAGCTCCGAGCCCGTTCGCTTTGGTCCTATCGAGATCTATCGAGGGAGGGGAACGATCCGAGCCCGTTGGATGCAGATGATGATGATGATGATGATGATGATGATGCAGGTGGTTGGTCTTTGGAAACGATGGAACGATGAGTAGCGAAGACAAATATGAACTGCGAACCAAGAATTACTATTGAACCAATATGGGGCGAAAACCGGCCAATGGGTTTTGGTTTCCAGGGGGTCTTTGGGAGGTCTGAAAATGACAATTTCACATTCACTGCTTCAATGGTGTAAAGGTTTTTCGAGGCAGTGCAACAAGTCCATGATGTGACCTCTATTTTGGACCACCAACCACTCAAATATGGTCTTTTCCTATCATAGCAGAGGTTACATGGGGTCTAGGTGTGTGTATGTATGTATTATTAACCGCCTTCTCAGGATTAGGTTGGTGTGTGTGTGTGTGTTAAAATCGGGAGACCCCTGTTGGACCCCTTGGAAGCAGGAAAATAGACCACAACCCATTGGTGGAGGGCTTCCCAGTTTCCCTGTAGGCCCTATAGAAACACAAGCCAAGGTGTAGGATGGATTCTCCAAACAGTAATCAGTGTCAGTGAGCAGCCTGAGGTGTTTTAGTCCTTTTACTTGCCCCTTTTCTTGTCGTAGGTGACTCCATGATTCAATCTTCACATCATAACTCATGTGGTTATACTTGTGAATGCGAGGGAGCTGGATTTTGGTCGGGGGTGGTTTTGACAGGCCGAAAGGCCTTGGTTCCCAATGCCATTTGACTCCCAAAATCTCCAGGGCCCCGTGGGTTTAACCTGTTTATAAAAACGACTGTGCTGCTCGTGGTTGAGATGCTGCATGGTCTGCTGGGTTCGGGAAACTATCTTTGAGGATTCCCATTCAAAAATAGATACCTGGAGCCTCAAACAACCACTAGATTCTGCTTGATTTGCTTTTCTACAATGTTTTATTATGTTTAATTCAATGCCTAAAGATTTACCAAAGAACAACCTCCGAGTCGATGAGGTTTATTCACCCAAAACTACCAAACATCCATAAGCATCCTAGACTATTTCCCAAAATTGTCAAAATAACGTCTCAAGCAAAACATTGGTCCAACAATTTTACTTTTTCCAGCATCCTACTGAGTTCTGGATGAAGTCAGTACAGTGAAGATCTATTTCCTCAACATTCGGAATTTCCTAAGAAGTTACTTTCTTAAAATTTTATTTGGAAAATACAACCTGGACCTTCAAAGATGACATTAACCTCAATTCTAGCAACCTGGACCCCACAAGTCTGGCCCCCAATGACGTGACGAGTCGGTCAACGCACGGGACCATCACGAAGAGTTCGTTCCTGTTCCTGGCATTGGTGATTGGCCCAAGAATCTATTCATCTATGGAGGAATCGGGAGGAAGAGTGATCTATGGTGATCTGGTGGTGATCTATTCATCTATGGGAGTGTATCTGGAATAGTTCAGACATGTTCAGACAAGGAAAGCGAACCCATCAGATCTTTTGTTCAGATCCTGTGGTCAAAACTCGAAGCAACCATCCTCAAAGCTGGTTTGGGGAGCCACAAATCCATACCCTCCGTGGGACTGGTACACTTACCCATCACTTGGTGGTTGACCTGATTCCAGTCTGGTCGTGTGTGTGATATGGGTGTGTATTCAGATAGGGAGACCAAGGAAAATAGACCAGTCTACCCAGCCAGGGGCGATTTAATGAAAACATATATCCAGACAGATGGTGTCTCCCTATTCAAGTACAATACCCAGACACTCCATGTACAGAATATTTGGCTACATTGGGGTGGTGCCAGAGGGGTCAATGTAACGTAGCTCAATATTCCATAATATTCCATACATGGGGTGTTTGGGATATGAACGAAATCGTCTCCAACGAAATCGGTGCCGCACATCGTCAGGCACCGGCTCTGCTGGCTTTGCGTGTGTGGAGCTACCCACGCTGCGGCCTACGAGTCCCCAGAGCCCACCTAGAGAGCCAGGCACGAGAAATTGGGGAGTTGGGATGGAGAAGGGGGTGACATGTGGAACGTCTAGTTAGACATTGCACAGTTTTCTCCATGCAGTCTTCTTCAGCTCACTAATAGTATTTGTTCTTAGATTCTGGTATGTTTCTTTTCTGGTCCTCTCGTAATTCTTGATCTATCCACCAGGATGTCGGTCTCATGGTCTCCAGCAAGCATCCGACAGCCAGGGGCACGGCGGGCCTCCTTTGGGGACTATGAGGATGCCTGCGCCAAGCTTGGGCTTTTGCCCAAATTCGCTCGCGCCGTGCAGGACGCGCGCCTAATGGCGTCCCTGACCGTGGGAGGTCCCTGGACCGTTGAGAGTCGGAAAGCTGACCGTTGGGTGTCCGGTTTCAGTGACGAGACTGAATACGCCAATGAACGCCATGTGCCTTTGACTGTTCCTATCACGAAAAAGAGGTCCGGATCTGGGAGTCATGTTGGTTGCGATTGTGGTGCATGTTTCTTTTGGGCGACCATCTAGACGAGGGTTAAATGTGGTTACAGATGGCTATACCCTAGGGTTCCAAAGACTATACTTAGTATAGCCTTGGCAGCTGGTACTATACTTTGCACCACTCGTCCGCGTCACGGCCCCGTAACGGCCCATCCTGCCTCAAGCAACAAGTGCTAAGAACATCTAAGAAACACACTCCATGCTTTAAAATCCATCAATCCCAATCACCCATAGCGCATTTTTTCACCTCTCGTTCACCTCTTTCGAACCGTCAGGTTCGAGACTTCGAGGAAGCATTCAGCCTTAGGTCACCAACGGGTCACCAAGGGGTCACCAAGTGAGAGTTGAATAATTTCCAGCGTTTGAAGGTATCTTCATCAATTAATTCATGTGCTACCAGAATTACATACACTGCACTTGGGATATCTTGGGGTGGCATGACAGCTTCCTTCATGAGAGGCCTTCATGAAGATTTGTGACTCTTGTTCAGAAAACCATCGACTCAACGCTCCACCCGAACAGAAATCACTTCACCCGGCCAGGGTTTTGAGTCGAGTAGCCTTGCCACACGCCACTGCATACTCAACAGCCTTCAGGGCACTTGACCATAGGAACCTTGTAAGCGTTTCACTCCAACACGTTTCCCTACGGCATGGCGCTCGCACTTCACTGGTGGTCGCCTGAGCTTTGCCAACTGGAGGCACCACTTTCGCTGCTTGGCCTTGAGCTGGTGTCCACGTAGAGCAGCTTCTTAGTTGTGCAAAAACCAACTGGACACTGAAGCCCCAAACAATGCGTGCACATGTACCAGATTGTTTGGTCAACAGGTCCGAGGTTCTCTTTAACCATTGCATGCTGTCCTCGTCAGCAAAGCAATGTTCATAGCGGAAATTTGTTCCTCAGTGCTTCCGCATTTTTGGGGTCAGTAACAACCAGTCATTCGGAGGTTTGGAGTTGATGATGGGATGATGGAGATCGGAGTTGGGAGTTGATGATGGAGAGACACGTGCAACCACGCTTGCATGTTTGAAAGCCACATCGATCTACATTTATAACTTCAAGACTACATTGTGCACCAAAAAGCTATTGGCCGAGAAATAACGTAAATTAACATCCAACTGTGTAGAATATGGAATGCACATGTGATAAGTGAAAACCATATCTCATGCAGCGAGCCACGGTCCTGGCGAACCTGTTTCAGGAGATGGCCCAGTACCTGAGCCATCATGATATAAAACACGTTGCCACTTCTTTCAGAAAATGCTTTAGCGATGCACGACAAAAAAAACACTGCAGCCCAAGTCACGTGCAATTTCGGGATTAGGCCCCATGAATTTTTTCCCAACCTAGGCCGGTTGATTATTTTCACAACCAACACATCACCAGCCGATATGTGACCAAAGTTACACACTACAGTGCAATCTAAAAACCTTTGGTGGAGCTTTGTCAACTTGAGGTGCCCCCTCACATAGACCAAGCCCTCGCGATTGATCAAAGCAGCTTGTGAATCTGTCCTTGGCGACGGAAGGCGTTCACCCCGAACAGACAGGGTAGGCATGTCAGTCTAGTCCTTATGAACTTTCCCCACATTGCTTGCAACCATCTGACAAGTATCAAATATCTTCCAGATCGCTCAAGAATACCAAAAAGGCGAGCCAACGCATTCCTTGAAATCGAATTGGTTCGAAGATCCGGTGGTTTGATTCTACACTATCACTGGTTTGAGTGATCGATGTGACCGATGCAAAGCCGTGCCATGCAATGCAAATTAATACCGATAAGCGTCACAGTGACTGCCGCCAAACGGATTTCCTCATTGTCCCTCAAACGCCCCAATCTTGCAGCTCCCAACGCACTCGCTAACCATTCAGTAATGACACGTCCACAATATGCCTTGCATGTCATCTTCGGTTCTCCCAAATTCTTCACCACCTTGAAGTGCAAACATTCGAAGGGGTTGGAAATGATTGGAAGGTCATGGAACCCATAGCTTGACGGAATCATTCAAGAATTATCCTTTGCCAAGCTACCAACCTGACAGTGAAAGGCGGTTGGCTACATGAGATCTTGTGCGCCCTGCAGAAAGACCGGAAGTGACTGTAAGCCTCGTCCAGAAGGGTCTGGAGGGGCTGCTGCTCGTAGCTACCGAAGAAGGAATTTTCAACGAGCAACATCCTCAAAAGAAAAATCAAGCAATGGGGTGTGTGGTCTGCAGAACACACCTTCCTGTTTCAATGCGAACGATGTAGTTCAACAGCTAGTTCAACAATCCAGCAGTTCAACAATCTAGCTCTTGTTGAGTGCATGCATGTGTGCAAGCAGGATTCAGTGCTGATCCGTTTGTTCCATAGCATAGCCCCAAATTGATCGTGTGCATACTGCACCACTTTATCAGGTCTTGATGAAACCCGCGGTGGACCTAAGTATTGAACCAATTAATAAGCCACATTTGGACCCTTAAGAAAATATGAGCAAACAAACAAGACCCCATTGAGTAACGCATCAATTATTGGGTAAATTCTTTAGCCAAATCACAAGGGTCTTGCGGACACTGTTGCTGCAACCACTGTGCAACAGATGTGTACTCCGTCGTCCAACACCGTGCATTTTCCTCAACATTGTAGTATAGGGATTCCACTGACCCCTTTGCCCAAGCACTGCACTTGAAACAAATCGGGGCATTGGCACCTGCCTTCCACGAGCTCAGAAAGCGGAAGACCTGACGGTGCCACATCCAGTCTCCTCTGATCTCTGTGACCTGGAACGTCCATTTTTGCTTTGTGCAGATCCAATTTCCTGCTCGAACAGCGGCTTTGCCACTCAAGTGCTCTCCGTCCGGACCACAATTGGGAAACCTTCCCGTCCACATTTGGTTAAAAGCCCAAGTCAAAAACCTGAAGATCGAATCCAATGTGTGGTGACTGTGCAAAAGCTCCTCTTGCACCGTGCAGAGTAGCCAACGGGAGCATCTGACCGACTTTGGCCTAAACAGTGGTAGCGACAAGAAAATGCCGATCATTTTTTCTATTCCTTGGCAAGTCGATCTAACCTTCACGGAATCTCCGTATATTCCCAAAGGCATTGTGCATTCTGAAGCTTGCGAATGGAGAGCCCATGCGCTGCCACGAGAACGGTGGTGTTGCCAGTATCGGCGAACATCAACTTCGCTCACATCAATGCCAATCGTGTTGAACAGGTAATCTATGATTCCAAAAGGGTCGACCACATCTATATCCACCACACGGTATCCATTCTCACTTTTGCGACATCTCAATGGTGCTTTGACAGAAACAATGTCCTTGAATGAACATGAAAGTCATAGTGTGTGGAAAACACTGTGAAGAAAAAACTACATATTCTATAATAGAGTTGCCGAATGAGGTCAAGTAACAACAGGAATTGCGCAAAATCTCCAAAAGTCACGAACTTTGTTCTTGCCGGAGTACTTGGCCATGTGATACGTATATTCATGGCAGGCTTGCGCCCCTGATTCCTAGCAAAACACCGACTTTGTTAAGTCCAAGCAGTCAGATGCCTGTTAATGGATGAACCTGGCAAAAAAACATCATTGGAACCCATCAGCCAAGACTCTTGGAGATGAGCTTTAGCTGCGTCCACAGCCTGCTTCACACTGCTTACCTTGTCGTGCGCAAATGGTTTTCTACTTTACTACCTGGACGATTGGTTTGAGAACACTCACTATGTTCCGCACAGTATGCAAACCACTGGATTCACATAGGAGTTGTTGCTTTGGTACTTTTGTTTTTTGGATTTGCTTTGGGGGGCTCTAGCATCTCAAAACTAATCATGGAGAGAACTCTTTCATGCACTGTAATGAGTGCTAGCTAGCTAGCATCAGGCTTCCAAGAATCCGCCCACCCACGAGATCGATCACTGCATTGCGTGATATACCGACCAACCACGTGCTATATAGTATATGTTCAAGCCCCGGCAAAAGATTGAAGGATTGTTTTGTTTTTACATGTTTTTACACCCTTGACCTTTGGCTCTCGGTTTCAAGTTTCTCTACCTTTTGGGGCCCAGCCCTCCACCAAGGAACTCCGCTTGCAACTTTGTCAATCTCATTCTGAGCGACAGAGGCATTGGGGTGGGCACCTGCGCGGGACTGGGACAGTACAAGGTAATGAGAAACTCATGGGGTCCCAGACGCACTAGTGCAGGCTGGCGTGTCCCTTTTCCCGTTCAATATCGGTTATAGTTGTAGACGGCGCAAGGGCTGCAAAAACAACTCTACTCGCACCACATCCATACTGGCTAAGTGGGGTGAGCATGTGAGGATCTTGAGGAATCAAGGATTATTTCCCAGTATTTCAATGTACATTTTTGAACTTTGAACGCACCACAACAATTGGGAGCCTAACAGGTGAACTAGTACGTGATGGCCAACCATTTGCGCAATTGCGCGTACCTGTACCTTGTTCGCCCCACACCCCACCCCAAACACAGATGATCTACTCCGAAGTTGGTAACCCCAATGCTCACGAGGCATAGTTACTGCCTTCCATGAGCAAAACACCAGGGCACTGTGTGAAAAGCAAGGCCACGCCATATATACTATATAGCTATGGTTTTGAACACACATTAAATTAGTTGAGAACTTCTAGAATTCTAGACCAACAAACACTAGCTTGCGTATGTCAAGTTTGGCATCCTTGCGCACACATGTCTGGTGTTAACCCCCGGCTCCAAAAGTTTAGCTGGCCATCCATGGTCGGCCAACAGAAATCATATTCACACCAAGCGCTTCATCTTCACTTTGTAGGCAGTCACTGCAACACGAGCATCTTCGGCTG